CAAACCGGCCATCCCTATATGGGGTCCGAACCCGGGGCCTTGGTGCTATCAGCACCGCACTCTCCCGAGAGAGCCATGGGCCGGCCCTAATCTGTATATTTAATAGGCTTTCCCTCCAGCTTTCGAAGAGCCAAGAAAGACTCCAGCAGTTAAACTTTGAAGGAAGACTAGAAGTTGGGCTTGGGGATATGAGAGGGCAGGGTGTTCCAGGGGACAGGAACATGAGGAAAGGCATGGAGGTAGGAAAACACAGGAAAAACCTGGGACTGGAATGAGAGGGTGCATGCAGGATGGTGGCCCGTGCTGAAGCAGAAAGCTGGGGTAGGAAGTCTGGGCTTTATCTCATTGGCGATGGAGAAGCAGAGAAGTTTTCTGAGCAGGGACTGGTCTAACCAGGCCAGCACCTAGAAAGCCACTCAGGTAGGGAGAATGCCTAGGAAGCTGGTGCACGATCAGGCAATTCACCTCACGGGTTATCGGGTAGACTTTGAGCGATCATGGGCATGGTGAGCTCAGAATCACCACTGTCAGCACAGCACATGTGCCTGTGTCCCTATGGAGAATGCAGCCAGACTTGACTTGCATATCTTTCACTCATTCATCATTTAACAAATACTTATTGATCACCTACTATGTACAGGTGCCAGAGTGCCACGGGAAAACTAGCAATGGACAAAACAGACAAAAATCCCTGCCTTTGTGGAGCTTATTTTCTTTGCTTGGGTAAAGGTGAGAGGGAATATGCCATCTTTATGCTTGGGTAAAGGTGAGAGGGAATATGCCATTCATTCAGATTTTTAGTGAGCATCTACTTTGTGCCTGACCTTGTGTTGGCTGCTGGGAGCAGCAGATATGAATCAAGTGCAGTCTGGTCTGGTGGGGAAGCAGACTCAGCCCACACGTGGTGAGGCTGTCTGCCCAGACTGCTGGGAGAGGCTTGCTCTGGGCAATGGAGGATGAGAGGTCTGACTCTCAAAGAAGGGGCCAAACAGAATTCTGGGCACAGGGAACACACAGAGAAAGACTTAGAGGTGTCTGGAGTCCATGATTACCTGGTGTGATTAAGGCACAGGAGGAAAGTAGGAGAGAGGAGGTGATGATGGTGGGATTCACATGCCAGAGCAGGCTTTTTTTTTTTTTGTCCTTTTTGAGACCGGCTGCACCGCACCCAGCCAGTGAGCGCTGTGAGTGCACCAGTCATCCCTATATAGGATCCGAACCCGTGGCGGGAGCGCCGCTGTGCTCCCAGTGCCGCACTCTCCCGAGTGTGCCACGGGCTCGGCCCCAGAGCAGGCTTTTGAGTGTACTCCAGGACGCCATGGGGGATGTTGGAGGTGTTGGTGCAGGGGGTTAATGTTATCACATTTGTTTGGGGGACAATCACAGTACGGGCTGGAGAAGAAGACAGATGTGAAGGAAAGGGCACAGGGAGGAGGCTGTTCCAATGGTCCAGGTGAAGGACAATGAGGGCCCAGGCTGACCTGAGTGGTGGGAGCAGAGAACCCCCAAGAGACAGTTCTGGATGTGGCAGCTGAGAGAGGAGCTCTAACAAAGAGGTTTACAAGAATGGGCTTTGCAATCAGAAGGTGCAAATGCGAGCCCCAGCCCTGGCCTTTATTAACCTTGTGGGCTTGCACACCTTATCTAACCATTCAAAGCCTCAGTTTCCTGATCTGTACACTCAGGAGAATAGTGGCCGCTGCTGTGAGGTTGGAAGATTTCTGGGAGCTGCCAGCATAGTGAGGGGGACATCGTGGATGCTCAGAACATGGTAGCATTATTATGATGGGGAGCAAGTCAAGGACAGCTTCCTGTCTGTTTGAGCAGCTGGGTGGACAGAGATGCCATCTCTCATGGAGAACACAGAAAGGGCCGGCCTGTGGCTCACTCGGTAGAGTGCGGTGTTGATAACACCAAGGCCACGGGTTCGGATCCCATATATGGGATGGCCGGTTTGCTCACTGGCTGAGCATGGTGCTGACAACACCAAGCCAAGGGTTGAGATCCCCTTACCGGTCATCTTTAAAAAAAAAA